TCTGGGTAAGTGATATTTCACACTGCCTAGAAATGAGGCGATAGTAGGCTTAGTGCTGTAGACAACTACAGGATAGGAGGACGTGCAACGTCGCTGTTAGTTTTGTGGAGAGGAGCGGACCAGTGGCACGAAACCCTTAGTGATAAAAGTTGGCAGGACGAAGTACCAATCAACCACTGTGACACGCGAGGTCTCCTCACCGCAACTCAGACTTATATGCAGGTAAAAGTTCTCGCTTTAAACAGACCCGGGTTGAAAAAAACAACGAGAGGTCAAGTTCGGAGAATTTCAAAAAGAAAGACAGCAAGTTGGGGACTCGTGCACAGAAACTGGTAAAATGGTTACAGATCGTCCGATTTTGTATAATTCTGAGGATATCCTTGGTGCCCGCCGTTTTTTTCATGGCGTGGTAGAGGTAATAAAACATTTAATCAGGTGGATTAATTAGAATAAAATGCTGTGTGGGGGAAAGTGGCTATAAGTACTGGCCAAACAGTTCACACACAGCTAGACAGAGATGCTCATGCAGATAAGTTTTTTGCCCTAAGTACGTGTGCATTTAATAAGTTCCCAGGTGAACTATATGAGGAAGCGTGAAGGAAGTGTTTCTAGATGTCCCCCATTCCCATGATTTAAGTTTTTTAAGTTACATCCTGAAAAATTAACAGAACGTTATGCTGACGGAACCAATCTATGGCCGAAGCAGAGCACGGCAATATGACAGGTTGCCGCACACTGCGTCATTTAACTCCAAGCGGCAGGTTTAGGGAAATGTTGAGTAATATTGCTTCTTGGCGCGAAAAACAGCAATCCTATGGGCGTAATTCGAAAGAATTTTACAAGATGGGGTGTTTTAAAGTTTCAAAGGACCTAAATCTAAGATGAGGGAATATTGAGAGGAAAAAAGAAATAGTTGGGTTTTGCTATTTGCAGCTTTCTAACACGAGGTTAGGGTACGAACGCCGAAACTTCAAGAAATAATCCATTGCATGAGCTCGAGGTAAACGCAGTCCATAAGTCGCCCGTTGTTATTTTGGCAAATTTACCGGTACAAGATGGGAAAATCAGGCGAGGTATATTTTAATTCGCTAAGAGTGGAGGTCAGTCAAATCAAGCTATGGGATTGGGCGCGCTTTTGCACGCGAAGGCTGTGCACAAGCACCGTGCCCATCTTTGCAATCGTAAGCGTGCCTCTGCACACTTGGAACCCCGGCTTTTGAACCTTAACACTAAGACCGGTAAATAAGATAAATATAATGCGACCGTCGGCAAGCTTCTAAAAGGTCTATTTAAAAGTGAACGTATGGTTATTGGAGGCATCTGAGATCGTGACAGCAAAAAATTCAAGATGAGCACAGCAGGTGCGCAGAAACGTCTACTTAGTCATCTCAGTCAATAAGGGGATTACAGAAAACGTTGTCCCGTATGAGGGGCTTGTTGTGGCAGGGTTTTTTTTTGCTAGGTGAGTTGCTGTGTATACTAGATACGGATGCCAGTGGTTTTGCAATAGAAGCCACGACTCATAGTGTCAGGTTCCCTAGCATTGTCAGTGCTGGAATATATTCACTGTGAATTAGGACACGTCGGACAGGCGGAAACAGAAACAGCGATGAGACAACGCTTCCGGTGGCCCCGTTTACGTGAAAAAGTAGCCACCTTTTGCAACCCGTGCCCTGCATGCGCTTCCTCTAAAGGACCCAAAACCAAGAGCACTATTACAATCAATGCTATCAGAATTCCCGACATAATCGGGCCACGACCTTACACAACCAGCGGTAATAGGTACATACTAATTATGGTCGACTACTTTAAGATGTGGGTAGAAGCTACACCGTTAAACCAACAGGATGCAGCCTCTGTGGCCACTGCACTTCTCCATGGATGGATTTGTCGCTTTGGGGCACCCCATTCACCCCACTCCGACTGTGGAGCCAACTTTGAAGGCAAACTGATTCGCGATGTCTGCGACCTTCTCCTTATCCAAAAGACGCGGACAACTCCAATGCATCCGGAGGGCAATGGCCAAGTGGAACGAATGAACAAGACCTTAGTCGACCTTCTAAAAGTTTCCGCTGAAATCCACCACCCCCCAAACTGGGATACATGTTCACCATACGCGTTGATGGGGTACCGTGCTACCCTCCACAGTTCGACAGGATATGCATCATTCTTCATGCTTACAGGCGGACACCTGCGATTACCCGCGGACTCGAACTTCCCCATACCAGGAACAGACGAAATCCCGCCAGACGAATGCGTGCTTGAGTTACAGGAAGCACTGCGACTCATAACTTAGCACGTTCACACTTACATATGGCATATAACCGCCAAGAAGACTACTTCGGCCGACATATTCAAAGGTTACCCTGTCAACGCGGCTACCTGGTCCTACGTTACCGAGTGGTTCCAACCGTTGATATACCAGCCACGTTTTTCTACCCTTGGGAGGGACCGTTTATAGTCACCGATATCAAACTCCTAACCACGTACATAGTACGTGATATAACAACCCCAGAAGAAGCCACCTTTACAGTACATAACGACTAATTAAGCCCATACAGGGGACGGCCCCCAGGGTTACAGCGAACAACTTACCCATATTACCGCCACACCTGGTACCCCGACCCACAGAAAAAAATTGGAGTCACGTCCCAACCCAATACCATACCTACACGCCCTGAGAATAGAGTTTCATCTGAAGGGGAGAAATCGTGGCGACTGAACCGAACCAGAGCCAGTTAGTTTTAACAAGCGGAACACAGAGATAGAAGGTGGAAGACAAAGGCTGACGGACTTATGGTCTCTTGTGCCTTTTAGTGCAAATAAAATAAGGATTTACTCTCTCCCCTGTGACAGCCTCCAAGCCCACCTCCCCTGAACCTCTGCCGTGAATCAGTGGGTCCGTGTGACATTTTTGTCAGCGACCATACCACGTAGAAAGCACCGGTTCTCGACCGATCACCGAAGTTAAGCTACGTTGGGCCCGGTTAATACTTGTATGGGTAACCGGCTGGGAATACCGGGTGTTGTTGACACCTCTCTCACTGACACTGACTGACTTTTTCATGAAAGTAATATGCATATTACATACAGATTTCTATCCACAAAAATAAACCTTTATATTTACACCAGCTAGTTAATTATTTGTGTGTTGAATGTTTACGATGGCTAAGTAAAATCCTGGCGAGATCACCTTGCACGGGGACGAGTCCTTGAGCACTGGTTCCGGACTGGAGGAAACTACCCTCCCGCAGAGCCCTCTACTCGACCCCAATTTGGACACAACCGCTCGAATTTCAACTTATTAAAATACGAGCAATATTTCGTTACATGTCCATATTGTCGAGTCGCAATGCAGATCGGTGGAAACTTCCTTTTTTTGGATTTCCTCTGCTTTCCAGAAAATATTCTATAGTAGTACTTAATGGCTACTTCTGTTATGGCTAATCTAGATTTCAGTCGACACCGCAAGTGAATGTGCAAAATACATTTTCATTAGCCCGCATACTAACTCCTTTTCGTAATTCTGGAGACTTTTGGGAGTTTATCGAGTTCCTCTTATAGACCTCTTGTCGTTGGCAATAAGAAGCTGTCTTACTCCACGTCGAAAAGTTGTGTGTCTTAGTAATCATTAACGGCCGATTCATATTTTCAAAAATTCAACCATCGTTCACACCCCACCCGCATTTCTAAAAGCTCCGAATTCGATATTTGTGAATGTCGTTCTTATAAATACCGGAAACGAAAAGACGATTCGTCGGCGAACGTTGTACTTTTCCTATTTTATATAACGCAGCCTCGAAATCCAATTGCACATCTGGCTGATCACACGACAGTTCGACAGTCGTCGTCGACTATGTCCACCGTGTGCTCCACTGCAATCTGAGGCAGACACGCTGACTTGCGCATGAATTACTTTATAATGATAGTAGACCTGAGATTCACCTACTTCACTCTCTCTTTTCCCCTCCCCACCTGGACCCGTTGTTAAGTCGGTGTCAAGACGACTGAAAGAGTGGGAGTGCGCATGTGAATGGCACGGTCGAGCCCTCGTCTTGGTGTTCCACTCCACATTCCCTGGTTTATACAGCTAGTGACCAGATTCCTGACAAACATCAACACCCCAGCAGGGGTCCAAAGAAAGAGGATGAGGACTGGGCTGCCATGCATACCACCTGTATACCCAGCGGGAGCGCAAGCTCGTCTACCCGTAGGAAACCAGGTTTCAAGGAACTGACAGCGCATTCTAAGTTGCGAGGACCATGGTTTGTCGATATTGACATGACATATGCTTTCAGACCTTTCGACCTAGAAGGGCGACACGTGGCCCTGCATTTAGCCTGGGACGGCACCCTTCAAGGCTAGATTACCAAGCAGTTGTCGACTGAGAGACACTGCCCATAACGCACACACACTCCCCACATACATGAGAGCGTGGCAACCTGGCCCTCAACCCACCAGTCCGCCACTCCGCATAATGCACACAACTGAACAAACTGCGCAGACTAAGTCGGAGCGGCAGACGGCTGCTTTCCAAGCCACAACGCTCGACGCACCGTCTTCGTCTCAGATTCCCATCACACATGCACGAAGGGACCCGTATAGCGAAGGGGACGAGACGCACACTTCCCACTTTCGCGGGAGGTGGCATCTGGGGGCTTTTGGTGGGTGATGCTGACGTGCGGTGGGATGTCGGTGTGGAAGGATATGGGGGTGAGGTGCAGCCGGTATTTCGTTACCACAACTTTTCGTGGAGGCGCTTGTGGCCTAATAGACCCACGCAGTGAATAAATGTGCGAGTGCAGTGTGGACAGTGTAGGCGGACGCGGCGAGTGTATGTTGGTGCTCCAGGCACTGGTTAGACGGTCTCCATGCGATGGATTTGCAAGTGATTGACCATGCCGATGTGTGAGGTGAAAATGCGACCGCAGTGTGAACAGGCATAGACTCGGTCCTCGGTGCTGGTGTTTATCGGTGTATGGGGATTGTGTGTAGCGGTCATGGGCATAGCAGATGTCACATCGACAGACGTTGAGACGGTGGTTGTGGATGATGATGATGATGATGACGATGATGATGATGATGATGATGATGATGATGATGATGATGATGATGATGATGATGATGATGATGATGATGGTGGTGGTGGTGGTGGTGGTGGTGGTGGTTGTGGTGGGGGTGATCGTGGTGGTGGTCGTGGTTGCGGTTGTGGTGGTCGTGGTGGTGGAGGTGGTGTTGGTGGTGGTGGTGGTGGTGGTGGTGGTGGTGGTGGTGGTGGTGGTGGTGGTGGTGGTGGTGGTGGTGGTGGTGGTGGTGGTGGCTCGGGAGGGCGGTCAGCGTTTGTTGACGGCTTGGGAGGCGAGGGAGAGGTGGACGGAGAGACAACGGTTTTTGCAGTCCGGGTGCTGCAGTTAGTCCAGAGGTTTCCAATAAGTTGGAGGCGGTTGAAAGTTGCCGTTGTGAGGCGGCGGCGGTAACTGAGATTTGGGTGCCTCGCGTTTGGCTGTAGGGGTTTTCAGCGGTAGGTTTACGCGACGGACGCTGTAGATCTCTCACTTGTTCACAGGTGTAGACTATGAATAGCGTCCATTTGCTATCACCCAACTCTCACATGTGACTGCTCGAAGGTAGGCTCCGCCTTGCGGCCACATCCCAGTTACCGCCTCGACCGGCGGGCTAAATCAGACGGGGGTATCCGTGTGTGTATCTCCGCGCACGATAATTTCGGCGTGGCCGGATGGATCACCGCATCGGCATCGCCGATATGAGGCTCTGTCTGGTATACCGTAGGAAACCACGAGGTATGCAAGCCCTCAGGTAAGCGAATGTTACTCTGCTGCCCTTGACTCGTTTTTTTGTTTGCCTGCTCTCTGACTGCTATCGTGTCTGTCCTTGTTAGAACTAACTGCCCTTCTTTTAAGTCTCATCGTCGGCAATCCCAGACTAACTCAGGTCGTTCTTCCACAAAACAAAGACGTGGTCCATAGTTGATTTCGGCAGCCACCTGGGACAACAGAGCATCCCTATTTAGGGAGGATACTGCCCATCCCCACGATAGGGAAGGAGCTAGAAAAGGCGCACTAATCAAATGCTTGGGAACAGCGCCGTCTGAAGGCTGACAGCGGACGCAGACGCAAAACTCACGATTAAAAATCCCAGCTGTTGAGAAAAGAATTGTATAAAAATGGGATTATCCCTGAATGAAAAATCTGCCTCAGCAGATGAACTGAAATGCTCCACAAGTACCTGATTCAGAAAGCGGTCGGCCCTTCTTCAGAACCGTAACGCAGCACCTGGTAGAGATCTGTTGCCCACATAAGAGGAAACCGCGCACTTCTCGGCAAGAGTGAGTGACGTCAGAAATAAAGAAGAATCTTAGATTAAAAAGAAGACTTTGGAAAAATTACGCCAGATGCCAACAACCAGAGCATTTTACTGACTTTGAAAAACAGAGGAATAAATGTCGGAATCTTCTGAGGAGGGAACGGAAAGAATTTGAGTTAAGAGTGATTACCAAATATCTCTAAAAATTCCAAAAAATTCTTTGGATACGTGAACAGGACGAAACGCAACGGGGCCAGCATTTCCTGTCTAAAAGATCGGCAGGAGAATATGCTTATATGTCTTATAGACAGTACAGAGGGGACATGACCATGGCCTTCAGGATCGTCCGAGGGCTAGACTGTGCTCTTCAGTTTGACGACTTCTTCGAACTGGCGCGGACGACAAATCTCCGAGGGCACGCATACAAATTGAAGATGAAACATGCCAGACTCGATTTGCGGGCCAAATTCTTCTCTCACCGGCTGGTTGAGGGATGGAACAAACTGCCGAACTCCGTTGTCTTAGCGGAAAACGTCGAGACCTTCAAAAGAAGACTAGATAAACTTATGCTTGATGGTCAAACATTTACATGATATCAATGGCTGGTATAACTGCTATGTAAATATCTGCATGTTTTTTTCTACGTCTATCTGTAAATAGGGTTTTCCAAGGCTCTGCCTCTATCCCTCATATATACTGAATTATACTGAATTATACTGTCTGATAATTCAGACAAGCCGAACCCGTTATCCGATTTCTTCACATCTGTGTACACCGAGGAGCGAGCTTTTAATGAAAAAAGTTTATCCTTCAATTGTCAACTCAAGCAATACAATTAGCACGGTGGCCCTCAAAACAGACACGGTAAGGAAAACTTTGGGTCAAATAGAGCCCATTAAGTCGCCTCGTCCGGACGGCGTGCTCGCAAAAGTCCTGAATGAACTCTCAGACCTGCTGGCCTCTCCGTTATCCAAGATCTGCAGAACGTCGATGGAGGCCGGGGCTCTGCCTACCGACTGGAAGAAAGCAAATATAGGCACCATATATAAAGGTGGCGAGAGAACAGCCCAAATAGTTTCACACCAGATGGTCTCACCAGCATCTGTTGCAAAGTGATGGAAAATGAAATAAACACGGAGCTGATGCAACATCTTGAAGAAAGTAACTTGCTCAGTTTACACCAGCATGGATTCCGAAGTCGTCGATGCTGTCTTACTAAACTGCTTGTATCCATGTAGAGCTGAACGGAATCACTCGAAATTGGTTTATCAGTCGGCGCTGTCTACATTGACTTCAGAAAGGCTTTTGATAGTCTTCCACACAGACGACTTATATTTAGACTACTTCAAATGGGCGCGAACGGAAGTCGGCCTAAATGGCTAGCCGACTTTCTAACGGGCAGATCTGAGCATGCGTGTATCGGAAACGCTATTTGGAATAGGCATCCTTTCACAATGGCGTTTTGCAGGGGAGCGTTCTGGGTCCAATTAAGTTTTTACTATATGTGAAAGACTGCCTGTACTGTCTGAACCGAAAGCGTGCAATGTTTGCCGATGATCTCGAATTGTAGAAATCAATAGATAAACCGGAAGATTCGCTACAGTTACAAAACAATCTGGATCGCTTACAACAATGGTGTGATGAGTGACGTCTTAACCTCAACCTTAACAAATACCAACTTATCCGACTACGATCTGGCGACAAGAGGCCGTTGAGATTTGGACCTCACAACTTTTTTGAAGGTCACCAACTCGAATCAGTCAACGAGTTATGAGACCTCGGTGTGTGGATTATGTCAACTCTCAAACCATTGTCTCACTGCGCCACGGTATCAGAGAAAGCTGTGGGTATCCTACGCGCGATTAGGAGATCCTTCCTCAATTTTGACGAAGAACTTTTCGGCTGAGTATTTGGAACATTTGCTCGACAAATGTTGGAATATTGTGTTCAAGCATGGTGTCCCTAGACGAAACAAGATTACACGTTGTTGGAGAACGTTAAAAGAAGAGCAATCAAGCTGTTTAGGGATTATTTTGCTTACCTTATGAGAGACACCCACAATAGCTGAAAATATTTCACCTCCATCATAGACTACAGAGGGATATGCTCGTGGCATTTAGGATTGGCCGAGGGCTAAACTGTGCTCCTCAGTTTGACGACTTCTTAGAACTGGCGCGGACGACCAATCTTCGAGTCCACCAATACAAATTAAGGCTAAAATATGCCGAACTCGAATTGCGAGCTAAATTCCTCTCCCATAGGCTGGTTAAAGGATGGGATGATTTGCCGAACTTAGTAGTCTTGACGGAAAACGTTGAGATTTTCAAAAAAGACTTGATAAATTCGTGCTTGATGACCAAATATTTGTTTCATAAAAATGACTGTTATAAATTTTATGTAAAAATGTGCAGGATTTTCGTCCATTTATCTGTAAAAAGGGTTTTCTAGGACACTGCATTCATCCATCATGTATACTAAATACTGAAATCAATCAAAATAGAAACAACACACTCTATCTTCCCCTCTCCTACTCCCCGCCGCCCCGCTGGATCGTGCTCCAAATAAAAAAGTTTTTGCCCATAGTGGAGTCCGACAGCCGTCCAGCATGACTGTACAGCCCTTTTTAGGGAGAGTACTGCTCAATCCCGCAACCGAGGTGGGGTTTAAAAAGGTGCCCTAAACAAATGCCAGGATTCATGTGGTCTGCACGCTGACCTTGGCCACAGACGCAAAATACACGGTCGAAACAACCAAACAAGAAACAACACACTCACTTTCTCCCCGTCCCCTCCTCCCCGCCGCCCCACCCGACAGACTAGTAGGCGAGTTCGCTCACTCTGGCAACCTGGAATGTTCGTTCCCCTTTACACAATCCGAGGAGCAACCGACCGGAACGGAGGATGGCGCCGGTGGCTCGGGAACTGGCGTGCTACAAGGTGAAAATCTCTGCACTCAGCAAGACCCGGTTCTCCGAAAAAGGCCAACTAGAGGAGGCTGATGCCGGCTACACCATTTTCTGGAGCGGCCGCCCCAGGGCAGAGCGAGGGAACGCGGGCGTCGCCATCCGGAATGACATCGTATAACGCCTATCCTGTCTGCCGCAGGCCATCAACGATCGCCTAACAAGCCTCCGTCTGCCTCTACGAGGAGGCAAATTCACCACCACCGTCAGCGTCTACGCTCCGCCGATGACCAGTCCAGAGTAGAAGACGAACAAATTCTGCGTAGACCTGTATGCTCTCCTGGCATCTCTGCCGAAGGCGGATAATTTGACTGTCGTTGGTGACTTCAACGCCCGCGTTGGCACAGATCATGCTGCCTGGAGAGGAGCGCTGTGTCCCCATGGTCTCAACTGCTCTAACGACAATGGCCTACTCCTCCTACGAACCTGCGCGGAACGCTGCCTCATCCTGACCACCACCTTCTGCCTTCCGACGAAAGAGAAGGCCACGTGGATGCACCCTCGGTCGCGGCACTAGCACCTGCCAAACTATGTCCTCGTCCGGAGGTGAGACCAGCGGGACGTGCTGGTGACCAAGGCGATCCCGCGTGCGGACGGCTGGGCCGACGATTTCCTCGTCATGCACAAGATGCGGATTCGCCTACAGCCCCGCAGGATACCCCAAGGTAAGCAACCCTCAGGTAGGGAGAATATAACTTTGATGTATTTGCCTGCTCACCATCTCCATTTCTGCAACGAGCTAGCACAACGGGTAGCCAAAATTCCAGTCGCTGCTGTTGCTGATGGAACGCCTCTGTCAAGAACCGATGGTGTCAACTGCGGAACTGGTTCGATGACAACGGCACCGCCATCAGCAACCTGCTCGCCGAGAAGAACCGACAGCACAGAGCCTACATCAATCGTCCACCGACGACAGCAAAGTAGCCTTCTACCGTAGTGGCCGCCTTGTGCAACAGGGACTGCAGGAGATGTAGGAGGTCTGGACGGTTCGCAAGGCCGAGGAGATCCAAGGATACGTGGACTACAAAAAATGGAAGAACTTCATTGCCGCGATCAAAAATATCTACGATCCGCTAACCAAAGGAACTGCTCCTTGTCTCAGCGCGGACGAACGTACCCTACTCACCGAGAGGTCGCAAATCCTACAGCGAGTGACCGGGCACTTTAGTGGCGTCCTCAACTGTCCCTGCACCGTCTCCAACGTCGCCAACTCCCGTCTCTCTAAAATGGAAACCTTAGCCGACCTAGGGCTCCCGCTCTTGCTCCGCGAAGCATTCGGGCCTTGCAGAAGCTCTCTAGCAGGAAAGCGCCTGGACCGGACGCGATACCTAATGAGTTGTACAAGCAAGGTGCCCCCCAAATCATGGATCAGCTGAGGGCATTCTTCCAGGAGATGTGGCGTCAAGGAGAATTTCCGCAGGATTTCAGGGACGCTACAATCGTGTGTCTGTACAAGCGGAAACGAAACCGCCAAATTCGCGACAACCAAAGAGGCAGCTAGCTGCTGAACATCGCCGGTAAAATAATGGCTCGCCTCCTTCCCAGTCGTCTGAACAACCACCTAGAACGGAGTCTCTTGCCGGAAAGCCTGGCAGGCTTCATCATGGAACCACGGAGATAGTCTTTGCCGTTCGACAACTTCTTCGCCGCCTGCGAGAAATACAACCTTATTATGAACACAGAGAAGACGTTGATCATGCGCCAAACACCACCCACCACTGTCCACAACTCGCCGCAAATCACCGTGAACGGAGCCCAACTGCAAGTGGTGGACTGCTTCACGCATCAGGGCAGCACCAAGATCGACGACGAAGTGACTCACCGGATTTCCAAGGCCGATCACACACATACTATCACTCTCCATACTATTCAGACTTAATCCTTTATTTCGGCGTAAAATTTGTTCTAATGGTAACCTCAAGGTGCTAGAAAAGGAAAAACGAAGACTAAACATTCATTCGGATTAAGTTCGGTTTAGTTTATTCTAGAAAAATTTATGTGTTCACCTCTTAATTTCCTGTACATAATGGTTCGGCGGGTGAACGCCGACGATCCTGACATTGGGACGCCGGTCTCAGTACGACGGAAGCCCATGTGATCGTCGAAGCCGATGTCTGATGTGAAGATGCGTTTACAACGATTACAGGGTGGGATTGAGCCCATAATGTTGGTGGTAGGGCTGGTGGTGGCGAATGTTGGGGTTGACAGAGCTTCGGAAGTGTTCTGACTGGCTATTCTGTATAAAGTTGCGAAGAAGTTTCTTCTTTCATTCACGTTCGCCAGCACAATATATCACTTTTGGAAAATATGATCAAAGATGACTATGGCGGTCCGGGCGGTCGGACACATGCACATATTTGCATGCGAAAATTAGCCAACCAATCATAAGTTTGATTGTAGGCTGATCCAGAACACTGGATTTGAATTGTGGTGCGCGGTAACGGTTTTGCTTTGCGTGTTGTAGCCGCTCCTTTGGTTGACCCAGAAGGCACCGTAGTTAGTGTTGTAGCTGGACTTGACGTTGCTCGTAAAAAGGATCCGTCGTCTGACACGGATTTAGGATCCTCCGTGACAACACTCATGGTTCCAACAACGGAGTCCACACAGACAGAGTATGTAACAGAAGTCGCTGATTACTGAGTAAATATGATCCGCGGTGGGAAAACAGGAGAAGAGAGAGCGAGAAAGACAGGGAAGAATATAAAATAGAATAAAAGGGGGGAAACGTTAATATGGTTCGAGAGGTGGGCTCGGAGTAGTTCAATGTTGTCCTTCGGGTAGCAAAATATCGACGGATGCGTTCGCCTCGACGTCCTTGCCTGCAAATCAGAAATGAGTGATTCAACCACGCTGCTCTCTTTCTTTTTCCCGCCTTATTATCTTTCACTCCCATAAAGTCAATTAACCCGCTATTACATGCGTGATTGATGTGTGCGATAGTGGACGGGATTGACACCCCTTCCTGATTAAGCCAGTTGCATAGAGACAATGCCATTTTATATGCACTCCGAGAAGAACCAGTCAAAAAAGACGGTGTCTGTCGGTGTTTAATGGATTCCCTCATTTTACGTCGACGAAAAAGAACTTATTTGAAGTGGTCTCCGCCCAAGTCGCCTTCAGTCTGATTCAATCGTTTCGGCAATTGCGTTGTGCGCACAGCGCATTAGTTCCTGATGAATGGTGCTGTCAATAGTCACTTTCCATGCATGATTCAGCAGGCGGCCACAACTGGGAGCGTCTGAACGATATTTCTGTTTTTCGAAGTATTCCTTTTCCTCAAGTGCTTCTACAGGTGCAGGGTTGACGCCGATAAGTTTAGTGTCTCCAACTCTTGTGTTATCCGTCTTCGTCTTTTCTTAGATTTCTTTCTATAAATAAAACGATGTGAAATTTTCTTACGTAGACTTCTGCACAATAAACTATGTGGTGATTCTACGAGTACCGTCTCCGAAGATAAAATTCCACTTTAGGTACACTTTATTCAGACCTTCCCCCGTCTGCACATAAAACTCTTGTTCGTCAACAGTTGCGGGGTTTGATTTCAGAGTCCATCCAAGCTGCGGGCATGGATGATGTTTTCGACAGTGCGAAGAGTCCCACATCGGTTGAACTGGAACTAGCAGACCTTGAATGGCAGAGAAACGTTAGAACAATCGCCCTGAGCGGTGAGCGTGAAGGTATATATGCGGGATTTGAAAGTCAGTTGCAGAATGTCTTTGACGAGGGGTTATGCGCTGGATTTGATGCTGTTAAGGAACTTTCCCAATTGCGTGGTCGACTCATGGCAGTAAAAGGCCAGATAAGTGGCCGAACCGCCGACTTAGACCTCATATCCGAAATCAATGAGATAGAACGCCAAGTCATCGCCGACGTTTCTCGTCATCCAAAGCGAAACGGCAATGAAAGCGAGATAGACTCCATGAGAACCCTTAATACTAGGGTACACTGTCTTGTCGAAAAAATCGATCATGTATTAAATACTAGTTAGGAGTCCTTTTGTGTTCTCTGTCTGCTTTCGGACCACCGTGTCTTTTATATCTTACAGTCACCAAGTAAGGCTTAAAATGTCGGGAGGGGAAAGTGGTTACTGATTCTTCTCAGAGTGCACTTTTCGTCTCACGCTACTCAAACAAGTCTTAGTTTTATAAGAAACGTATACGATCTGTGAGTGGAAACAAACGTATCAGCACCAGGGGCATTAAGCAGCCGTCACCCGTCTGTCTCTCACGTAAAAACTTACTGTGTAGTTACGTCAGAATTGGCCACGGGCCAAACGCGGGATTTTCCGAAGGGCGGGAGCAAAACGCTTTGCCACTCACTGTCCAACCTATATCCTGTCGGACTTACTCTGCTAGACGCTGGTAGCCGATAGGAAGTGACTGTGCGGGGCTAACCCTATGCGATTTTAGTCTTGTGAGCTTCTGGCTGCCATGGTGTGACCTAGGCTGCTAACTTCTGGCTCAACTCTGTCCTCGAGACGAGGGCTTGTTTGCATTCTCTTAGTGTTTCTTCTTAGTATCTCGCCAATTTGAAGTCTGGATGACTAGAGTCTGCTCCGTATGCTTTGAGGAACCAACACAAGTTATGTCGGACAACGTCTGGTCAGCCTCTACGCTCTAATTTATCGTTGGTTATGCAATTGAAACAATGGGTTTAGAAATGAGGTGAAGTTGATGTCTCAAAATCCAATCATTTGTCACAGAATCACTCGGCTTCTTTTGACCCAACGAAGGGCTTGTTTTTATTCAACCTATATCGCTTGACAGTCGATTTAACTTTTCTTTCTAGCACGGTTTTAATTAGGGCAGAGAGTTTCGGTTGGTGTGAATCTTATTTTTCCATTGAAGCCTACCATACCATGTCCACCCGTTGGCCTACCTACTTACTACTCTGCGCTTTCACGGGTGGTGGATGGTGAGATGCCCTCGGCAGAGGTTAGTTCTAGGTCAGACGAACAAGCACTTTCAGACCTATAAATCAATTATCACCGGGGCGTTAAAGACTGAAGTACGACACACCAGCCGCCTTGTTGAGTATAGCAAAGTTCGATGAAGGCACCGCGACCTGGCGACCGTCAACCGCCATTGCGTGAGTTTTCTACTTACTGCCGTCTTGTAGTTTGGCTCTTGAGCCAAAGTGCTATGAGAAAAAACCTCGAACAGACAATTCGAGCAGCTATCGGGACCCGCCCATACTCCGAATTCCCGAGAAACCTCAGGATGAAGTGCCTGAATCAGGCCCTGTAATCATGTCACGGGAACCGACATGCTCCGCAAATTCAGTCCAGCGATGTCGGCGAGTAGTATGCAGGTTAGACCGCTTAGTCGTGAACGGACTCCTTATGTTGGGTGCTATAACGTGCGAACGTGTCTCGACCCTAATACCCAATCTGACAGTGTGCAGTCTTCAGTAGAACGTGGATGTTTGCTGCTTGACTCAGTTCCTCTGGAACCAAAATCGTGATGATCACCTTCTGTTTCAATTCCGAATACAGCGATCTACACGATCCCCCCGGTAGCAGGGTGGGGCGGTCGCTCTCTTGTAACAGGATTAAAAAGATGGGATCAGGACGGGCGACTTGCTGCAAAATCATCTTGTTGGCCGCTCCAGGTTTTGTTTTCGGCGCAAAGGTTTTGAGAGGATGTCAAACTTTGCTTGCCGGGCTTAACTGGTCCCCATCAGGACACGCTTCCAACATCTTCACAAACATCCACTGACCTGGTATTCACCCGTTGATCGTACAGCTAGCCGTCTTCACTACATTCTATTCAGTCAAGTGTTTTGTGGCTTGGTTTATTATAGGAGGTCGATGCTTAGTGCCAAAGTTGCAACGCCCATGGGCCATACTATCTTCTCACCCGCACACGCCTTATAGTTCGCCTCTATTACGCGCTTGAAATACCACACGTAAGGAACCTTGGCATCATAAGATTACGGCAGCCCGGTATAACTGAGGACCCGAGGACAGAAATCGGTCTTCGCCTTGTAGTTCGAGCTAATAAAGAAGGCTGGGACAAATGGCCATCATTGATTCCCCCAGCTGTCGAGGCTGATGAAGAAATTCTCGGATTCACTCAGCGGGACTGCAGGTATCGCAATTATGATTCCGCCAACTCCGGAAGATGACGGCAACGTAGGTCAAAGATGACCGCAAAAATTATTGGCTGAAATGGCGACCTCATGAAACGGACCTCAAACGTCGATGACATTCGAAACTCGGGACTGCGTGATTCTGTTTGCAATGTGAACGGTAGCTTTTTTGTCGACAACTCGGTCAAAGTCGAGCATTGGTGTGAGCACTTCGGGAATCTTCGCAGCACCATTGACCAACCCATCATCTCATTTTTAACGGCTGAATTTTATCGCTCTCTAGCCTTTGCAGTCTCGTGTGGCTGCAAAGGTCCTTTTCATCATACTTTTCAGGCTGTTTCGGGTTGTGCGTAACTCGAAGAAGGGTTCTGGGTTAGACCTCGACAATGTTGCCCTTCATGCGCCAGGTTATGATGACCTATATAATGCAATATCTTAAGCGAATTAGATCGTTAGGTCAGTAGCTTGTCCCTCAAGATTCCTAACAGTCATTTTGGAAAGTGTACAGTTTCAAGTTGCCCGGAGCTTTGAGGCCGACATGTTCTACCAACCCAATGCTGTTTCCAAGGTTTTCGTAATCATCAAAAAGCGCGTATGAACACAACGATATATCTCTACTGTTAAAAAGATCCGCACGTAGGAGCGGGCGAGGTCTGCAGGTGTTTGACCAAACGTCTCCTGATAACAGTACCTCAAGAAAGGTACACCGATTTCGTTTCGGGTTAAGCAGCCCGCATTCACTGTGCCAACATCGCGTGGATATCCAAAGTCGTTCAGTAAAGACAACTGAGGTGGTTTTAACATGTTCTTTGTCGTTCGCCCCATGAGTTTATTGTTGCTGCCCTTGACCCGATGTCGGTGAGTGCCCGAAGGCGTCGGAGCGGTCAATTTAAGCCTGACTCAGCACACCGCCAAAGCATGGAGGTGGTTTTTGGGTCTCCAGTTTCCGTCGTTGAAGACGCTAATGAATCGTCCCGCCAGTGTCACCTGCTTCTCCGAAAGACGTGAGTGTGCATATGCACATATAGGCTCTTTGAGATAGTATTTTCTCCCCCTCTCCAGTTGAACAAATCTATTAACTGACAAAAAACGCCGTTGAGACTGAAAGTACTTGGACAAGTGCAGGAGTTAGTCGTCCGCAAGAATATGCTAACTGCTGGTTAAAGTGATGGGTCTTTATTTACAATTTCTGGTGCTTTGTAGCCCAGGTGGGCTATCAGTCATGTTCTCCTCCACTAGATTCTCCTAAGATAGCCTACCTCTTCTTTTAGGTCTTTCTAAGAGCAAATTATTGTTAGTTTAATGGCTAAACAGTGTACTGCGTCAGAACTTGATTGTGCAAGTTGGTGTGCTGTCTTGCCTGTTTTTAGATGGTAGCTCTCGTAGCTTAATCGCTAGATAGTCCATTTGGTAGAACATCAGGAAGCGGATGTTGATTACTGAGTTCGGCCTCTGATGTGAAGCTTGTGGACGGCTATGTCTTATAGGACTGAAGCATGTCATTCACGTTCATATCCTAATCCGCTAAGGCAGCGACTGCCAACATATCGACCATGTTAAGGCAAGTGGTCAGCAGATTCATTCATTTACAGGCTTTTCAACTTTTCTCTCAAAATTACCCCAGGATGAGTTCTGAGGCCATTATTTATTCGTCCAGCGAACTGAAATGATGGAATTATAGTACGTGGTGACAATAAATCCACTTCGGTTCAACGAGCAAATAGTTGGACAGCGCAGGGAACATACTTCCATCATATGCGCTACCTAGAAGTCGGGAAAAATGTTCCTCTGACTAATTTGCTGTCAGAAGACTCGACTATGAACGCTTCAGCCCCGCTGTGTTTGCCCAGCGTCCTCTATGTGCTTTCTGCTGTAACAATTACGTATATGCATGACAAACTAATAATTCCTCTAAAAATTAACGGAGGAAAATTAAGTTATGTGCCCTGGACACGACTGTGTATTTTTGACTGCGAATTGGTTGTAATCACCTGAGAGTAAGACGACTCTTCCTGAGTAGTCGCGTAATGCCCATCATACTGACACGTTATTAACTACATCGTAGAAGGGTAAAACAGCGCCTGGAGATTAAATCCAGCATAGGCGTCAACTGAATGCTCACACACGTGTTCAGCGTGTATTGAACACTTGGGTGGAAGACAACTCCACGGGGACTGCTCAATCCTCTTACGTAGAAATTATTTACTGAAGTACGATGGTATAGGGTGGACGTGGAAACTACTGCCATCATGTGAATAGACTAAAAGGTCACGCACGTCTCGCTGATGATTCCGCCGCTGCATGGAGCGCCTCGCTGAAATCGCCTCCGTGCCAAGTTTAACATTTTCCCCAAATATTGACCAGGGGCATTGGAGTTAGGTGGACGTTACAGGACTTCGGATTGTCGACCTCAATATTTTAGCTGGTGCTTGAGTCCAGTACTGCTTCACGGGAAAACCGCATGCTGTCCAGTATACGAACATTTGCTATTAATCTTAGTATCATTGCATAGGATAGTGTATGAACCTATACGCGTCATATGTATCTCTTGAATGCCGAAGCCGGCGTCTCGCCCAAGGTTCTGTTGCTTTACAAGGAATCCGCGAGTTCTTTGTCTCCTCCGTTGTGCT